ATTTTTTCTTGTGGCATTTGGCATATGTTTACCTTTTCCTTCTTTGGTATGGAAAATCCTTTACTTTTTTTTTGCAACTTAAGTGCTTTTTCAATTTGATATTTTTTGCAATCAAAGATTTTCATTAATGTTTCTTTAGTGTACTTGTTATGGTTAATAACTGAAAGCAAAAGAATTTGTCCTAAATAATTGCTTTCTTGAAACATCTTAACTGGTACAACAAGGTCTTCTAGAACCAGTTGAGTTGTAGGATCTTCATCCTCCTTGTGTAGCACTTGAGAAATTAGTGCCTCTGATTGATCAGGTGCAATTGTTTCAGCAAATATCTTCTCAAGCTGCATTTTAAACTTTTCAAATTTCTTCTTAACTTTCTGTTTGGTTTCTGGGGTTAAGTCTTCTATTCGCTTTTGCTTTATCTGAAAGGACAGTGGGCTTGCCCCAAATGCTTCACACAAAGAGCTAGCTGCGTTTTTTGATTCTACTAGAGTTTCTGAAATCTGAAATGATTGTTATATCTGGAACATATATGTCATCAGCAGGAAAGCTAGACTTTATTGGAGTTGGAACTGGTTCTAACATGTCAATATTGTTATCTGTAGATATACTTTTTAGGTGGTTGAAGCAAAATATGGCTCCAATAGGAAGTGGTGAATTCTTTTCATTATAAGCAGCAAGGGTTCTTAAAGGGATGGATCTGATTTTTGGTGCTTTTTTACCAATTTGAAATTCATGCCTTGGGTAATGACAACTGCTTGGCTGCTTCCAGCCAATACCCAAAGAAAAACGATGGTACGCACATAATGAGTCATAGGATGAAAGATAAGCTTGTAACCAACTTTCAATTAGGGTTTTTTCATTCCACTGGTTTGTCGGTGGCAGCTATAAAGCAGTAATGTTAGATTTTTTATCTACGGAGTAGGAAACCTTGTTTCTTTTAATAAAAAAGCAAATAATGTTATTATATTATTCATACCTTCAAAGCTTGTAAATGATTAGTTATGTCAGCAGTCAATTCATTAACTTGAAAGATTCCATCTTTGTTCCAACGCTTAAAAGGACCACAAGAGGTCTTTTCTTTATCAAAACATATGCATTTCTCATAAGTACTAACTTTATTATTGCTCTCTGACATTTTATTTATTAATTATTATTTATTGACAAAAATCTAACAAATGGAGTTTTTACTAACAAATTTCAATACTAAAAACTGCATCAGTTTATATTTTGTCATCAAAGAAATGTAATGAAAGAAATTTATGTTATGTAACTCAAGTAAATCATGGTATGTACCAAGTAGTGATTAACGCAAATATTACACCAAGTTGGCAGTCATTTCGTCCCCGCAGTATTATCTTGTTCTATCAACAAGTGTAATAAATAAAATGTTCTATCTAATATATAAAATAAATACAATAATATATATATATATATATATATATATATATATATATATATATATATATATATATATATATATATATATATATGTATATATATATATATATATATATATATATATATATATATATATATATATATATATATATAAATATATATATATATATATATATATATATATATATATAAATATATATATATATATATATATATATATATATATATATATATATATATATATATATATATATATATATATATATATATATATATATATATATATACAATGTTCTACCTGATATAATATATTAAATTAAATAGAACATTGTATTTATTTATATATAATTTTTGTTTGTATTTATTCTAAGTGCTATATGTATTTATGTCAAGTACTCTTGTACAGTTCCGTTATAAAAAAGTATTATATTAAAATTTCAATTACACAACTAATTATTAAGGCGGCAAAGTTTTTTTGATCGTAACCGTGATCGTGAACGGACGTACTTTTCTTGAAAATTAAAAATGGCGAATTTTACTGTTTCACAAATCAAGGAGCTATTAGAGTTGCATGAAAGTACACTGTTGAAAATATTTAATGATAAGTTTGAAAAAATAGAAAACAAGCTCATTAGTATGCAAGTAGAAAATACAACTTTAAAAAATGAAATCAGCGAATTAAAGAAGTCTGCTGATTTCATAAATGAAAAATACGAAAAAATTTTAAACGAAGTGAATGATTCTAAAAAAAAAGCATTAACATCGAATTTAAACAAAACTAGCATAGAACTTGAACACAGCGATAATTTAATTAAAGACAAACTAGCAGAATTGGAGGACCGCAATCGGCGAAACAACTTAAGATTCAATGTGATCCAAGAAAGTGAAAATGAAACTTGGGAAGAAAGCGAAAAAAAAATACACGAACTGTTAAATTCAAGACTTGGTATTAATAACAATATAATAATTGAAAGAGCACATAGAACTGGAAAACTTGATTATGGTGGGAAAATGAAAAACAGAACTATATAGTTATATTCTTAAGAATTTGACAACTATATAGTTGTCAAATTCTTAAACTATAAAGATAAACAAACGATAATGGAAAATTACTCGAAGTTAAAACTCTGGACTGAACGCCTATACATTAATGAAGATTACTGCGAATAAACAACGGAATTAAGAAAAAAATTGTTTATTGAAGCGAAAGAACTTAGAACAAAAGGTAAATATGCAAAAGTGGTTTATAATAAACTTGTTACGTGCGATGCTTAAAAATAGAAATTCCTTTGTTTTCGCTAGGCACTACAAGTATACTAAACTATTAAAATGGATTCAGTTTTACTAGATAATTTTAAATTAACCTTTAATTTTCTTCAAACAAATAAATATCTTATTGATGAGAGATCTGATCCAGATCTAAATTATTTTAGCGAAGCAGGTGCTTTACAAAATAATTGTTGTTATTTTTACGCACATGAAATAAAGGACTTCCTAGAGCGCGACCATTTGAATGCCTTTCATATAAATATAAGAAGCTTACAAAAAATTTTTGAAAGCTTTTGCTTATGTATGAAAGATACTCTAAACGTTTTAAATATAATTTGTGTAACCGAAACGTGGTGCGATTCTGACGAAGTGAATTATGACTGTAATATCCCAGGGGCGGATGCAGGATTTTTTGTGGGTGTTGCCTGTTTTTTTTCAAGTTGCCAAAATAGTTTGCAATATTTTTTTTGTAAGCCCCTTCCCCGGATTAGCGAGGTGGGGGGGGGGGAGTTCAAAGCTGCATCAGTACTTTATTATTACTTACCGGGCATTGTTCTCAATTACCCATATAAAACAAAACTAACAACAATATTGCCTTGGCTATTCTGTTCATAAATTAGACATTTTTTACTTTTCTAACCTATTTAACAAAGTGCACCAACAAGAAGGTAAGCCATAGGACTTTGCATTCCATCTGTAAACTGTCATGTGGCCTAAGGTTAGCCCTCCATTTCTGTATTTTTTCTTTTTCTTGATAGGCAGTTAGTGTAAAGTAATTGTATTGTTGCCTTAGGTTAGCCCTCCATTTCTGGATTCTTTCCTTTTCTTGATACGCAGTTAGTGTAAAGTAATTGTATTGTTGCCTTAGGTTAGCCCTCCATTTCTGGATTCTTTCCTTTTCTTGATAGGCAGTTTGTGTAAAGTAATTGTATTGTTGCCTTAGGTTAGCCCTCCATTTCTGGATTCTTTCCTTTTCTTGATAGGCAGTTTGTGTAAAGTAATTGTATTGTTGCCTTAGGTTAGCCCTCCATTTCTGGATTCCCTTTTCTTGATAGGCAGTTTGTGTAAAGTAATTGTATTGTTGCCTTAGGTTAGTCCTCCATTTCTGGATTCTTACCTCTTCTTGATAGGCAGTTAATGTAAATAATTAATATTATTACCTTAGGTTAGCCATCCCTTTCTGGATTCTTTCCTTTTCTTGAAAAGCAGTTTATGTAAAGTATTAATATTGTTGCCTTAGGTTAGCCCTCCATTTCTGTATTCTTTCCTTTTCTTGATAGGCAGATAGGCCAATTTTTTTTTTTAAGTTTTTTTTTTTAATTTTTTATTTTGTTTTTTCTAATTTTCATGAAATATAAAATAAACTTAAATATAAAACAAACTAAAATACAAGAATATAGTCAATAAATAAAAAAGAAAATAATAAATTAATATTAGGTAAAAACCAACTCTAAGCGTCGTTCCCCTAAAACAGAAAAAATATTCAAAACTCTTTCTACATCAGGAATTATTTCTTAATGAATAGACATCAGAGCTAAAGAATTAAATCTTGACTCTGTCATGCGGCTTCGCATATAAGTTTTCAATCTGCGTATAACAGAAATGCTCCTCTCGCATTCACATGTAGTAATTGGAATTGTTCCCATTATTAAAAAACCTTCCCTAATGTTTAGGAAACCCCTCATATCAATAGATTTTAAAGTTTTTGTAATAGTGGATGGGATCACAGATTGATTGTTCCAAAATGTTTCCCACAAATCTAATTCAGCATGAATTGATGTAGGATGAGGCATATCCGATATATAAAAAAATGCAAAAATTCCATAAAATTTAACTTCCAAAAACATTTTTCTTTATTTTTTTTTACAAAAGTTGCAGGAATACCAGATAAACCTTTGTAAACAACCATATCACCTATATCAAATCTATCTTCTAATTCATTAATTAAATGATCTAGAAGAGGAGATGTGATGGAATATTTGAAATAATCTGAAACTGTGTCAGAGGGATAATTATCTCTATAAATTTGTCTGCCACAGAGCCTTGGTTTAACTTCTGAAACATCAAGAGTCTTAGCTAGATCAAGTGCAATTAAGTACCATTCGTTATGATAGACATCAATATTTTTTTTTAAATCTAAAATTTGAGTTTTTAAACAATTTATTTCATTACACTGTGTGATATATCAAACGCTTTAGTTTGAAGAACAACAGTGATGGCATAGAAATAGTCTATTATTTGTTTGGTTAAAACTAAACTTACAATAAAAGAAAAATTAGTCATAAGATTTAAAAAACATGAAGCTTTTGAAGAAGTATCAATATTATAACTCTTACCTTCATTGTATGCCATTTCTTCCATTGAATGAAAAACAGATATGTAGTTATCAAAAAAAACATCCAGACCTTTAAGTTTCTGAACACATCTAGTTCGACATGTATCGATTAATTTTGCTTGACCAGAAAAAAAGAATTTATTAAGACAGCTGGCACTTTTAGGTGATAAGTTAAAAAAATATGATATATCTTTGATTTGATCAAGAACATTTCTAACACTCTGAACATTGCATGATTTACTTACAACTAAATTAAGTTTATGGCATGCACAGTGAACAAAAATAGCCTTTGAATTGATAAATTTAATTCTTGATGAAATACCTTTTAATTTACCAGACATTGCCCCAGTACCATCATATCCTTGGCCTCTACATTTTTGGATATCAAGACCATCAATTGCAGAAACTATGTTTTGCAAAGATCATCAATTGCAGAAACTATGTTTTGCGCAAGACTAAGACCAGTTGTACCAGATTTACATTCAATGAACCGTAGAAAATCTTCACAAATAACATTATCACAGTCAATGTATCTTATAACTAGAGATAGCTGTTCAACATTAGAACAATCAGAGGCTCCATCACACAAGATATAAAAATAATCTGAATTTTTAATTTTATTAATTAGAACTTCTTCGATTGTTTTTCCACAGCATTCAATAAGTTCGTTTTGTGTGGTTTTAGATATATAGGTTGCATTTTTAGGAGCAGAACGAATATGGTGCTCAAGAACTTTATCACCTGCTTCAATGCGAAAATTTAAAAGCTCTACAAAGTTACCTATACCAATGTTGTTTTTACATGTTTCTCCGATATCTGGATGATACTTACTTTGATGAAGTCGACAATTATTATTGTGATCCATGTAAGCACGAATTGCATTACCCCATATTTTAAAAGGTTTTCGAATGAAGTTGATTATTGAGGTATTGTTTGGAATTCTGCTCCCCAACAGTGTACATGGAAGGCAGTATGCTCCATCTTTAATCTGTGAGTAAGCTAACCAGGAATATTCAAGTAGCCATTTATGTAAAAACGATCGTTTCTTTTTTTCACCAGAAATAGGAAAAACAAAAAACGAGTTAGGAATAAATATTTTATTAAATAGATCTAATAACATTGAATCATCTTTGCCAGCAAATAGTTTTCTACTGCGCTCATAGTAAGTAGAAACATCATAAAAAGGTAGGCTTAAAGACTGATCCGATGAACAAGGGATACAATTAGTAAGATTGGATTAGGAGTAATATCAATATTTACATCTATAATTTTAGTTTCATTACTTATGCCAAACTTTATGTGAGATTGAACTAATGATTTTTTTTTTGAAAATAGATTTTTAGGAGGTTGATAAGATAAATTAAGAACCTTAGTGTTAACAGAAGAATGTGATAAAACACTTGACAAATTTCTTTGAGCATAAAACTTCTCTTTTCACAATAGGGACAAAATGATTTGGTGACCACATATCTTTATCCTTGGAAATAGAGCGACAATCAGTGTTACACCAAAAAATACTCAGAATTTCTTTATTTGTTTTATGATCACCACGTGGGTATATACATACATTAAATAACTTTTTATATTTTTCAAGTCCAAATTCAGGATAAATAGACCGAATTTGTTTATTTAACACTCTAGATAATGCAATTAAACAAAGAAAAGAAGCAAATTTATTGTTTCTGCAATTGTTATAGGCTTCTTTTTTTATAAGTTCAGCAATATTTATATCATTTAATTCTGTAAAAGAATCAGAAGACTCAAATGAAACACATGCCATGAAAACACTAGAGAGCGAGGAAAAACTTAGATTCCACTTGGTTTAAGATTATTGGGTATCTCGAATAAAAGGTTGCTTTCTCAAACAACTCAACAGAAGTTAATAGTCGAAGAATTTCATGCATTTTATCTGTTGAATTTATTAATAAAGCAGCAGAGTTGTAAAGACAGTTACCATTCTCCATTGACCTGTTAAGTCATAACATATATATATATATATATATATATATATATATATATATATATATATATATATATATATATATATATATATATATATATATATATATATATATATATATATATATATATATATATATATATATATATATATATATATATATATATATATATATATATATATATATATATATATATATATATATATATATATATATATATATATATATATATATATATATATATATATATATATATATATATATATATATATATATATATATATATATATATATATATATATATATATATATATATATATATATATATATATATATATATATATATATATATATATATATATATATATATATATATATATATATATATATATATATATATATATATATATATATATATATATATATATATACTAAATATAACTAAAACAAACATATTTAACTAAACATTTGTCAAGAATTATTGTTTTATAAACATAATAAAACATAAAAAAAAACGTGTTTGAACTCATACTTTAAAACAATATAGTCTTCGTTTTCTTTTTGCATAGGAATAAAAGCTTCCATTTCAGAATTTCTTAAAGAAAGAAGATCTTTGTTTACAACAGGAAAGTTTGAATTTAATTCTTTAAGATTATTACGAAGCTTTGCTTTGTAAGTTGTAATATTAGGCAAATGCTTGGCTTTAATGGCATTGGATAGCAACAAATCCATAATTGTAAACAAAAATAAAATTTGTAATAAAAACTACTTATTAGCTAATTTTTGATAAACATCAATTTATTCGAATACTTAAGGCTTTATGCGAATAATTAAGGCGTTATTAGAATAATTAAGGATTCATTTTTATATATAAACGGAACCGAGAGAACCCTTTTGATCAAACGCTCCTGCAACTTTTTTTGTTGTCTACCGGAAATTCGGGTCAAATGAATCCTGAAACAAAAGGGAGTTTTTTGGCCTTTATTACGGCAAGCAAAATAAATACATTGCAATAACGATTGATTAAAAGGGTTCTTTCGGTACCGTTTACTTTAAAAAAAGAATCCTAATTTAGCAAATAAACGAGGCGGCGGTGTGCTTATTTACATAAAGGAAAGTTTTCAATTTTTTACAAGGCTCGACCTGAGTATTTCTGATGACGATAAAGAGATTTTAAAAATTGAAATTTTAACCCAAAAAAATAAAAACATACTTTTAAGTTGTTCTTATCGCCCACCTTTTGGAAAAATTGAATGCTTCAACACATATTTAAATACTAATATTATAAAAAAAGCTGACCACGAAAATAAATTAATCTATATAATTGGTGATTTTAACTCAAATTGTTTTGATTATCACGTCAAGCAAAGCACACAAAAGTTTTATAACGAATTATTCAAAAATGGAGCGTTTCTTTTAATAGATAGACCAACCAGAATTACCGAAAAAACGGCTTTAATAATCGATAATATTGTAACGAACGATGTTTTTAATGAATCTTTAAAAAAGGGCATTATTAAAAGTGACATTTCCGATCATTTCCCCATTTTTTTTCTCTATAAATATAAAACCAAAAGTACTACCTAATGAAAAAACAACCTTTTTAAAACGTATCTATCATTGCTTCATTGGAAAGATATAAACGCTTCATCTGACGTAAACTTTACTTACAACCAATTTTTTAAATCTTTCTATAAGGTAAATTTGATGTAAATTTCTATAAGGTAAATTTGATGTAAAATCTATGAGGTAAATGAGGTATGTAAATCTATGAGGTAAATCTATGATGTAAATCTATGAGGTAAATGAGGTAAATGTAAAATCTATGAGGTAAATGTAAAATCTATGATGTAAATTCTATGAGGTAAATTTGATGTAAAATCTTTCTATGAGGTAAATATGATGTAAATTTTCCGAAACGCGAAATAAACTTAAAAACCAAAAGTGTAAAGTCACCATGGATTACAAACACCCTAAGAAAATCATCAAAAGTCAAACAAAAGTTATACATTAAATACCTTAAAGAAAAAACGATAGAAAGTAAAACCAACTACAAAATATATGCGAGAGAATTTGAAAAAATTAGAAAGAATCTTAAAAAAAAATACTATTCCAATTTACTTATGCGATACGAATGTGATTCAAAACGCACGTGGCAAATTTTAAGAAAAATTACCGGTAAAACAAAAATTAAATCATGCGCTCTGAAAAATGGCATTAAAATTAATGGTGATATCTCTTATAATCCACGTGAAATAGCAATCGAACTAAACAATTTTTTTGTCACGATCGGACCTAATTTAGCAAGAAATATACCAAATATAAAGAAAACAATTGATATCTCATCTATTGCATTAGCTAATCTTGATTTTTTGGAATTATCGTTTGAAGAATTTGAAACAGCTTTTAGTGCGCTAAAACCAAATAAAGCAAGTGGCTTCAATGATATACATGGCAATGTAATAAAAAATTCATACAAGGTTATAAAAGACGTGCTTTATAAAATTTTTTTTACTTTCAATCAGATAAGGAATTTTTCCTGATCAATTTAAAATTGCAAAAATCACACCGATATTTAAAGGAGGATACTTAACAAGTATCAATAACTATCGCTCTATCTCTGTTCTTCCAGTCTTTTCTAAAGTCTTAGAAAGAATTATTTATAACAAAATTTACACTCATTTAACTAACAACAATTTATTATTTAACCACCAGTATAGATTCAAAAAAACAACTCTACAGAACACGCGATTCTCCAGCTAACACGTAGTATCACAGAATCTTTCGAGAAATCCGAATATACTTTAGGCATCTTCATCGACCTATCAAAAGCCTTTGATACAATAGATCATAAAATTCTTTTTAAAAAACTCAAAAATTACGGAATAACTGGAAATGTTTTAAAGTGGATAAAAAGTTATTTAAGTAATCGCAAACAATTTGTAACCATTGACGCTTCTTCTCCAATAAGTTTGTTAGAAATTACTTGTGGTGTTCCTCAAGGATCTATTCTCGGACTTCTTCTTTTTCTTATATATATCAACAATCTCTATAAAGTATCCAGATTAAAAACAATCATGTTTGCAGACGATACAAACTTATTCTTATCTCATACTAACATCACTACTTTGTTTCAACTTATGAATGTAGAATTAAACAAGATTTCTTACTGGTTTAAATTAAATAATTTATCGCTTAATATTCAAAAGACAAACTGGACTCTCTTTCACCCGCCCTCTAAGAAAAAACTACTGCCTTATGAAATGCCATCCCTTTTTATTGATAACATCGAAATAATTAGAGTAAACGTTACAAAATTCTTAGGTGTTTATATTGATGATAATCTTTCATCCAAAAATCATATTGAAAGTTTATATAACAAAACTTCAAAAAGTTTAGGAATTTTATATAAAGCAAGAAACTTTTTAAATAAAAAAAATTTTAACTCAATTATATTTCTCTTTTATTCATAGCCATATAAATTATGCAAACATTGCATGGGCTTGCACCAATAAAAGCAAACTTGAACCTCTTTATCGTCATCAGAAGTATGCAGCACGTTTGATACATTTTAGTGAACGTCTTACTCATGCAAACCCTCTATTAAAAAAAATGAACGCCTTAAATGTATATCAACTCAATGTTTATAACACTCTTTGTTTTATGTTCAAATGTAAAACTAATTCTTCACCAGTTTCTTTCCATAATTTGTATATGTCAAAAGATAAAAATAAATACTTTTTACGCAATAACAATTTTATTAAGCGGCCATTTTTTCAAACTAACTTGAGCAAATTCTGCATTACTTCTCGCGGACCATTCTTATGGAACAAAATAAAAAAACTTAAAACTTAAAAAACTTTTCTCAAGAGTTTATCCAACAATGTAACTACAACTCTTTTAAACGAAAGTTAAAAGAATTAATTTTTACAATTGACGATCTATCAATTTACTTTTAATAATTTTTAATAGTTTTCCCATTTTATCTCCACTTATCAAAGAACTATTATTATTTTATAATTTATATATTTACCAAGAATATGTATCAATATATACGACAATTTATATGTTTATTAACTTATATAGTATTTATATAACTGATCTTTATATTTATAACGGGTTTTCTGAATATTTTTAATTTGTTTGTATCACGTTCATTTTAGCGGTTCTCGACGACAAGACCCTACGGTCTTCTACGAGTCCCCGCGTTCTTTTATTTCTTATTTACGATTTTTTTTTTTTTTTTTTGTTATTTTCTTGTAACTTCTATATTTTATTTTTTGATTTGAATATTTATAACGGAATGTTGTTTAAAATGTAATAAAGAACAAAATAAAAAATAAAAAAAAAAAAAAGTAACTGTTGCTAAGCATTTCTGTATCGTTGCTAGGACATTTTTTAGTTCACAAATTGGCAAAATAAGGCTACTTCTAGGACTTCAGTAGGCTTTTTATCATCCGAGCACATGGATTTTTTTTCAGATATTGGATGATGCATGTTTAAGGAAACTAAATAACTTATACTGTTCATGGCAGACCTGAGGCCACGGTTGTTAGGGGTAATCTAACAAAACGCGTTAAACGCAAAAAGTGATTTTTGGCAGGTTACTCCTTCCCAGGTCCTTGCATGCACATCATATTTGTTACATAAAACCAATGTATGCCATAGTGACTTTCAAAAACATCTAAGAATACTGCGTGCAAGTAATGGCCTCAAGAGATATTAGAGCTCAAAGTTAGAGTAAAATTTCAAATTTTGTTGTTTCGGACCATGATTTCTAGACAACCAAAAATGTAACCATGTTTAATTTTTATTTTTACTGTAAAAATCCATCTAGATTAGCAGAAAAATTAAAAAGAAATGTGTCTGTCATACTTATGTTGCTAAAATCGTCCTTCAAAGTAGCGATTGCACTACATGCCCAAATATTTTCTCAAAACGGGCCAAATTTTGAGACCCAATATCTCCGAAATAAATAGGAATTTAAAAAAAAAAATTTACCAGTGGCCTACTTTCATTATTTTTTACAAAATATCTGAAAATGAAGACAATTTGAAGACATCACTTCCAGACTTTGCCTGGATTTCTCAGACAATAGCTCTTAAGACTTATAATATAATTATATACCATGTCAAAAATGGAAAACAAAGAGCATTGCCTCAAATAAGTTTTGTGAATTTAATGTGATGTAATCAATCTTTTATTCGAATAAACTCAACGACATATTTATATAATTATTTAGCTGCAACATAGAGTTTAATAATATAAAAAAGTCAGACTTTATATAAGCTATAACATATAACCATAATACTTAACAGCAGGTAAACAGTATATATAACTTTAGTTAATGAGATATTTCAAAGAGGTGTTTTAAATGTTTCTATATTCAAAATTTAATTTGTTTTTTCAAAAAAATGTTTGTTTGAGGATGTATGTAAAATTTGTTACATACATCCTCAATTCTATTGAGTGATTATCCTTTAAATTATAAGAAACGATTTTTTTTTTTTAAAGTTGATATAAATAACTTTAATTCAGACCTGTTTTTTTTTTTTTACCAACATAAGTGACACTTTAAAATGTTTTATTCATATAATTTATGCAATAATTATTATATAATTCTAGAAGGAACCCCTGAATTTGTATACCCCTCTATACTGACTCATGCAGCATTTTTACAAAATGGTATCTTGCTAAAAAAAATAGAGAATATAAATTATAGGTAGAGATGATTGCTACTTACCATGCCGTTATGTTATTAACCTTCTAGCATACAGCATTGGGTAACTAAGAACTAAAAGGTACATAAATTATATACAAAATATAACTAAAGTTGTAAATGCCATTTAATAATAAATTGAATATTTCAAAAATAGTTTCTTTTTTTTTTCTAATATTTATAAAGTTCATTTGTTTTCTTTTATTCTTGACAAATTTATTAGTTTACTTTTAATTTATTAGCCTTTTTTTAATTATTTTCTGTCGTAGTTTGATAAAGCAATATAAAATCTATATTGGTTCACCGCTAGGAATTTAAATCGCCGCCATCTTGGGAGGCCAATTTCGGCTTCAACTTTTTTTCGGAAAAAACAATAGAACCCGCTATCCAGTTATATTTTGAGATCAGTGGTCAAAGTATAAAGATCAGGCGTTTAAGTAGAGTCTTGATGAAGTTTTCTTTTTAAAAGGTTACGAGCATACTCCTTAAACATTTCAATGCGGTTAAACGGCCATCTGTTTTATACTTCCATGGATATATTAAGTTTTAAAATATCAAGTATTCAAAATATTGATATTACAACTAGATTTCGATAATTATATATATATATATATATATATATATATATATATATATATATATATATATATATATATATATATATATATATATATATATATATATTAAAATATATGTTTGCATTGAAATTTTAATTTAAATTTCAGTTACTCATTTTTATTATTATATAATTGGCTGTTTTAAAAACAATCGGGAATACCTTTGATCGAATAAAAGAAATCGTGTGAGTTTTTTTTTCTTGTTACTAAGGCTCCCAGATGTCCTAATGGTCTTATTACTGAGCACCGCGAAAGTGCATTTAACTAGAAAGTTAACGCCTTCTTCCTTACCAATGTTTCACGCCTTCTTCTTTATTGGGCTAGAGCCGACATCGATCCACGGACTCTTGGTTCTGTGCCAGTACTTTAACCAATGCGCCACGGCTTAAAATCATCGCGCCAAAGCTACGTTTATTTCATCCAATCAGCTACATTCATAAGCAAGGCTTGTTTGTATTTATATGGAAAAATTGTCTCACCTGAAGGACTGTTTATCTGAGACGGGCTAGCTCGGTTTGCTCACATATTTAAAATCTCGCTATGTTTAATATTTACTTATAAAAACTAAACTTGTTTTCATTACAATCGGGATAACTGAGATCTAGTCTTATTTCAGTGGGATCCTACTCAGGTGAGACAATTTTTTTCCATATAAACACAAACATGTGAGCCAGCCCTGCCAATGAATGTAGGATAAAATTCCAATAAAAACATTTATTTTTTTTCGTTTTAATTTTTTTTAGCCAGCCGACTAGATAAAAAAATTAAAACGAAAAACTAAACTAATTAAAACGAAAATCGGGCTAGACCGATTAACCAGACTGCAGCCTGGTTAACCGGGCCAGTCTGACTTATATACAGAGGCAATTTTACAGGGTGTGTTCCACCCCCCCCATCCCCAAAGAAAGTGATTTTCAAGTTAAAGTCGGCTTTTTTACCAATTTAGTCGGCTAAATTTTAGTTTTAAGGAACTGTTTTTTTTTTAGGAAACCAATTAGTACTTTTTATGGATTCGCCCTCACTCATTTTAATTGTAGAATCGCCGCTGCTCATGTAAGTAGCCAGGGCCGTCCCGAAGAGATTTTAAAGGGGGGATGATGTGTCTGTTATTTGCCGATTAAAGCCAAAAAAAATTTTTTTTAATGGCTTACTTATCTAAAAAAGAAAAAAAAATAAAGGTCCTCGTTTTCCAATATTTGCCGACTGCCAATTATAGATCCCATTTTGCCGACTCCAATTATAGATCCAATTTTGTCAGTTTCAATTTGCCGACCGAGATAATTCGTAGGGAAATGCTAGACACCCCCTATGCCTCCCCTTCCTCCTTTTGGGACGGCCCTGTGAGCAGGATTCCCACTGAAATTGAGTTATCCGGGGTAGTCCGATTACTATGTAATCAAGTTTTTTTTTTATATACTTGTCGAGATCTCGTTTAAGATAACCGTCATTATATAAACAGCCACTTATCAATTCATCCAAGTTGTTTTGGCGCGAAAAAAAATTCAAATTTGAATAATAGTAAACAATATATCTAAAAAAATTTATTAATAACTTATTAAATTATTAAAAAATATAAACTTATTAAAAAATTAAAATTGTTAAAAATTTTAAAAATTAAAATTATGAAAAAAATTAACCTTAAGGATAAATAAATGCTATCGTATTTACAAGGTTATGAAAAGTTCATAATAAATTTTTCATCAAGCTACTTACACAAAATTTATAAATAACTTTTCATAACCTTGTAAATATGATAACATTTATTTACTTGTAATAATTATATATTAATAATATCAATGATAATAATCTAGCTTTGGTTGCAACAAATTAGCTGGCAGTGATTTCTAACTTCATTTAAGGAATTGAAATTTAAAAAAGTTATAACTACAGCATTTATTAAATGATTTAATAAAGTTAGTTAATAAAGGAAGTAAAAGCTAAATCCGAACCTATAAATTACCAAAGCTGATAACTAGATACTAATTACTAACTATACTAAAGTTTATAACTAATAATACTAATTACTAAAACTATTAATTACTAATAAACTAATAAAACTAAATACCAAGACTAACAAGTCTTACTGCTATTAGTATTAGAAATAAAAAGTTGGTAAGTAATATTTGGATAATTGTTTACTGTTAGCGTAATAGTTTTAGTTTTTTCTTAATAATAATATTATATGTCTTTGTTACCACCCCACTTGGCCATGACCTCTAAATAACACAGCTATAGCACTATTCAGACAAGGCAATGAATAGACTTAAATCTGTAGAATATCACTCCAATAAATAAAAAGATGCTTTAGGTTATAAAAATGGCTGGTATACTCTGTATTTAATATATTATTTTAGGTTTTTGTTTTAAATTTACATTAAGTTAAATTTTATGAAAAGCATGCTGTGGTACGCCATACAAATCAATAGCTTGTATATTAGTTTTATATTAATATATATTTTGAGATGTTTGAAGTCTTTATAGAAAAATAGTAATATGATATGTTTCTTTAACTTTTCTTTACAGAGAAATATAATAATGTCATCAATCTTTACAAATAGTAATTTTTCAGTTACTAACTCAACATCAAAACGCCAGAAGATAAGTTCTGATTTCTACACCACATCATCAAATAGTACCAGTCTAGATAGAAGTGCAAAATATTGTAAGAGTGTATTGTATTTTTATATTGGTTTTAATTTATTTTGTTTGATAAATCTTGTTAATTTTGGTTTTCAAAATTTAGAAAATTTTCAAGTTTTTTTTATTAACCCCCTTTTTTTTTCAGCATTTAATTTAGAAACACCTCATTTGAGTTTGGATCATGATGGTAAAAAAATTACCAAGAAATCTTGTGCTTCAGGAATATGGTAATCATCTCTGAATTGAATTTTTTTAATTATTATACCAATACATGTTATTCTTTAATCTTGTTACATATTATTCTCAACCCTATGACACAAAATTTGATGAGTATTGCCCACTGTGCAAATAAAAATGTTTAATATAGATATTTAATAAAGATATTTTTAACACTAATAAATAGTTTTAAAAAACAATTTAAAATGTTTAAAAATGCTTAAAAACTATTTGAACAACAGCTACCAATAACTAAAGCCCAATAACTACACTCCAGTGCTATCAACGCTATCAAGTTACTACTACTTTTCTTTTTTCTTTTTTTTTTTTTTTGCTTCAGAGTTTCATAATATTTTAGTTATGCTTTATGTTTTATATTCCTTTGGTCATATTGTTGTTTTTAATAATTTTGTGCTCATAATTGGCTAACACACACAAATGGCTTACAACTTACAAATTGCTAAACTTATCCTAAATTTATTTTCTATTTAGTTATTACTTTCTATAACACTTTTATTTTTCTTAAGAGAATATTTAAAACTTTAGTATTTCTTATCTCAATGTTATGCACCATTTGAATCAATTGGTGGTAACTTCTGATAATTTTTTCAAAGATAATGTATTATGCATAACTAACCTTATTGTAAACAACATGTAACTGTGTTTTAACAAGTAACAATCTTAATTATAAATATTTTCCTCTTTAATTAATAAAACATCTGCTCTTAAAACTTCTTTTTATCCAACCTAGGAAAGTTTGTACTAGAATCAGTGACCACCAGTATAGCAGAGAAGTCTTGAAAATGTAATTCCATGACTTACCTTTTCTGATACAATCATTTTTCTCAAATAATTACAAAAATGTTTTAATTAAAAGTTATGAATCTTATTGACAAGAGTAACTTTTATGAATCAATTATTACTGTAATAGAGGAAGTAAATCAGATGGTAATTGTGCAAATAGAATCCATTAAAATGCTACACTGAATTTCACTAGTCATCACTATGCTTTATTGGGTGTTACCAAATCTCATCAGACTTTACCTCATTAGACCTTACCTCATTAGACCTTACCTCATTAGACCTTACCTCATTAGACCTTACATTACACTACTAGGTCTGACTATTTTTTTAATATTCAATTTTACACAACCATAGTTGTCACGGAACTATAAGCTTTATCAAGTTTTGGCTATCGAAACCTATCAGTTGATGTACATTGGGTGGCTATTGAATTAAGGTCATAATTTATAAGGAGTGTTACATTGTCTCAACTATACAGTCTATGTTAGGTTTTCACCTACTATCTGTTGCACAGATGAAGTTTTATTGTCTAAGATCTAAAAGTTAGTCTCATCAGAGAAACACATCTTACGAGAAATATGTATTTTTCTTTAAACTGGAAATAACATAAATATGAATCAAAAATTATGTTTTTAAGCCAATTCTGTATTATCTAGGTTTTTTCCTATTTTTCAAGCAATTATCATGTTTAAGTATGATTGATAAGATTATTACAAATTTTTTTTACCTCCCCAACCGGTATAGTTGATGAGGCTACTTTTTTTTCTTTTTTTTTTCTAATTTAATTTTTTATTTACAACTTTGTCAACTCCAAAACAAAAACCTTGTTAAGCAAGGCCACTGCATGGAGAAACAGTTAAAATCCACTCTGTTATTATGGGGGATTCCTTAAAACCCAATTCATTTTATTTATTTATAGAAAATAGTTATTGGTAATTCCATGTAAAAGAAGGGCATTCATTTCACCTACTGCTTTTTACATCAATTTTCTTTAACAGTGGTACCTATCATTAAGATATGAAAAAGTGTGAAATTCAAGTTCCTGACTTTAAATGATTTAAAAGTTACAACATTTTGAAATTCAACTTAAAATGTTCTATTTTTGCCCAATTCTGCTATTTTGTTATGATAAATCTATAATGACTTTTTAAATAATTTAAGTTCTATTTGACCATTTTTGAGGGTGTAGAATCAATTTTTTTAATATCTGTAAAAACATTAACTAGATATCTAAAGTTAAAGTTTCACAATCCATATTTGTGAAATAAAATTTGTCACTGCTAAAAGCACCTTTTTTAGCGTTGTTATACAAATTAAAGAGATTTTAGCACTGCATTAATTTAGTTGAGCAGTGCTTTATATATACATGTTTATGAGGAAGACAATTTGTTAATTTGGAATTTTTGTTAGTCTAGTTCTCCATATTGATATTTTTCTTTCATATTCATTAGTATATTTAAATGATTCTATTTCAAGCGACTGTGTGTATGACAGATGTATTAACTTTCTAGTTTAATTCCAATCTTAGTAATGGAACACTGTGTTTCATTACTAAGAAACTAATTTTCTAAATAAGACTTAATAGTTATTTAATCTGAAATTAAAACTTCAGATTAAATAACTTAATTTCAGATTAAATAACTTAAAATTAGATGAAATTAAAAATAGCTATTTTTTGTACACCATAACTATTTTTAGATTACTCTTGTATGCAAGAAAGGAAGGGGGTGGAATAAATTTTAGTGCACATCTAGTAAACAGGGAGTAAAACAGTTTAACTCTAGCGTGACTTCCACTTAAATGTTCATTTATTAACAGCTGTTTTATAATAATTCCAATAGTATTTAATAAGCTTATATAAGTTTTATACTATGGTCAGAAATAAACAAAAAGTTTTTGACAAATTTAGGAGATTTTTTAAAGTTGGATGATTTTAAAAGCCTGAAAGTTTTTATCCTTATCAGCAACTAATATATTCTTTGATTTTTTTTTTTTTTTTTTAGTTTTGAGATGTTTTATTGTGTTGATAAGATGCAACATCTAAATCTATTTTAAAACTTGCAAAGTTGGCAAAACTATATTTAATATGGTTATACTTTTTTAAATATTAGGCCTAAAATTTCTTCTTTTACATGAAAATTTTTTGTACTCTTTTTTTTTTTAACATCTTTGCTTCCAACAAGGCTGCAAGCAACCACTAATTAGTGTTGGAAGTTACTGGAAGAGAAAAGATGAAGGTTGTAGAGCAAGATAACGATTGAGAGTAGATTTAGATGGTCATTTAAAAAAAAACTATGGTAACAAAACAGAAGATTTCTTAATTTTAAAATCAAAAAATTACCATCTAAAATTTTACATTGGGTTATTTTTAGTTTTAGTTTTTATTTTTAGATTCAAAATTTTACCCTCAAAAATGGTCCCATTTTTTAAACCTTTTTAATTGGTTGCCTTTTTTTTTTTAAATATCCTAGGCAGAGGGATTGAAAAATTTTAATTTTTTGTCTTACTTTTACATGAAATTACCCTTAGGCATTTTGTGTGAATATCTTTACACAAAATGGTCTGTTTTGAATGGAATTTGCTGATTGATTTAGTTTCAAATAAAAAATTATAAGAGGTCATTTCCTGAGGATGTTTTGTTTTTATGTTTGACATATTGAAAAAGATTTTCATAATACTATATTGACAATATTGTTGCTTAATTTTTATGATTTTCATAGCTCTAAACAAAAGTTAGTTGTTACTCCAGATCATAATATATATCTTAAACATTGTTAGTTTCTATATATAGAATAATAATAAACAAACAACAACAATATGAAAACAAATAAAATGAATAATGTCATTTCTACATCCCCTTCCATGATTTTAAGTGTCAATTAATATAAACATAATTTTCAGTTTTATCTGTTAAAGTCATCTAACGTCAATGATTTCCCAGTTTCTGGTTGGTAGAATTTCTTGGGGATACGTAACATTGTTGAAAGTTTTAATGGCTCCTTTGACTTTGGTGAAATTGGGTTTTGTTGGCAGTTAAAATGCTATTTTTCACAGGTATTAAATTGTTTGCATTAAAACCTGTACTGTCCATAAGCAAGATTGTGCACTGGTATCTGTAATAACTTGTAGATAATTCAGTACAATGAGAGGAAATTGTCATGTTAGGAAATTAGTCTAGTTCGTTAGTGGTCACACACAGCTAAATTCTAGCGATTAACAAGCGATTGAGCTATGGCCCATCCATCATGGGTAAATATGTGATGGTTTATTTCTGTGGAGCGTTACTTTACATTGGTCATCATTTGTGATTTTTTTTTTTTCCTATTAAAATGCACAATTGCACTCAATTTAAACACAAATCTGCTGACCTCAGCATCTTTAGTTGCATTCAATTTCACATCATTTGGGATGATTCTGTTGTTAATTTTAGAAGTGCAAAATCTAAGCTTCTTCCAACAGTCTAGACACAGCTTGTGGGATGTTTCATCCTCTAGATGATCGAGGCTGTATCAAAAAAAGTTCTGCTCTTCTGACACAAATGACCACTGGGATAACAGCCCATTTTTTCATTGCTTTTAGAAGCGCCTCATTGTTTTCATTAATTATCTTTGAATTTTCTTTCAGTAGTTGATTTCTGAGGTCATCTTCACAGCACTGAAACAGCTAATTTTTTGATGTCTGTACATCTCTTAAACAATGCTCAGCAACTAATAAAGTTTGCCCACTCTACTTCTGTGATACCCTGACTGATGTGGGGGCGATCCATTTGGTGCCTTGTACTTTGAGATGGCTGAATGAATGTTAATTGAGTTTGGGGGATGGTGAAGTTGGTGGCTGTTGAAGTGTAATTGCAATTGCTTTGCTGGGACCTTCGATGATGACATTGCATACTGGGGCCTGGCAAGGTAAGCTTTTTAAGGTAACAACTTCAAACAAAATAACATAAGTGAATTATGATTTCAACAACTGACAAGAAGTTTTTTTCTTTGTAATACCAATGTTTCTTTAAAATTCCATTGAGTGCATAAGAAACTAACATAAACAAAAGTCAGTTGTTGCTCCAAATCATAACATAACTTAAGCAATATTAGTTTCTGTAAATAGAACGACAATAAACATAAACATAAACAACAACAATATAAAAACTAATATAACAAGAAATGAATAATGTCTTATTTTTACAAGCTCAAAAATTTTGAGTACAAAATTTATTTTATATAGAAATCTAATTGTAATATATGCATTCCATTTGAAATCTAAATATTATAGATATTATATTCCACATTTCACCTGAAATCAAATTCCACATTTCACCTAAAGCTTTTTTATAGTCGTTAGTAAGCTTTTGTAAAAGAATATATATATAGTTATAGTTATAGAAAACTAGAATATGAAGAAAATGTGCACATCTAATTAATGTTAACTCAAAAGACATGGTCCAGTATTAAAGGTGAAAATATGAACACAACATGAGAAAATTATGTTGAGTTAAATTTCTAATAATAAAATAAATTTCTCATAATTATAAGATAGTTGTAATTTTTAGGTTTGACTATAATCCAGTAAGTGTGATGTGTTTAAGTAAACATATCAAAAGTGTGCACATTGTACAAAATGTTTACTTAGTGAACAAAATGTTTACTTCATACAAAAATTTAGTTACATGCTCCTGTATGAAACTTTAAATCTTTGTTTACCTTTTTTTATTTAGTATTTAATCTTTTTAAATTTAAAATTTTTCAGCTCTCTACAAACTCCTTTTCAAGAGAGCAGCTCAAATGGTTCAAAGCACACTCCAAAAACACCTGCTTCTAGAACACCATTAGGAAATATTGCTCAAACCAGCAATGTTGTAGGTATGTTTTTATTTTTACATTTCTCACATGTTTGTATGTTGTTTTGCTACAAAATGAAAAAATAATAAAGGAAATAACAAAAATGAATTCATGAATAAAAGTATTTTATTTGATACAAACTTTTGTTAATTGTATAACTGAAGAATGTATATCATAACAACTTTTCCTTTGATGATTTTTTTTTTTCATACGTAGAATTTGCATAGTTTGAACAATTATGCTTTTCAATTGTTAAAAAGCTATAATGAAAGTTTATATATATTGAAAAAAAACTCTTGATAAAGAAAACATCTTTATTATTGACTTACAACATTTTTTGAAATGATGTTACAATATTAGAAGAAAGTTTGCTTTTTTTAAGCCATTGTTGAAGGTCGTGGTATGGCAAAGGGAGAGATAGGCATGGCTTGCATTGATCTTAAGGGGGCAGAACTGATTATTTCACAGGTACAGTTTAAATATCTTTATTTTGACCCCAAAAGTTAAATTTTTTTTTTTTGAATAATATAACATATTTTTTAATTATATGATTAATATAATATACAGTATTTGTTTATTATAGATGGTAGATATTATAGTACTATTTAGTTTTCAGATGGTCCTACATATGTTAAAATATTGTGTAAACTACAAATAATTCAACCAGTTGAGGTAAGTTTAACCAGGTAAATTTAAAAACGTTTAAAGTTTGTTACTAATTTTTTTATGTTTAGACAGTTTAAAATATAACATAGTTTATGTTTATATGTCAGGAACTTTATATGAATGTCTCTCTCTGTCTATCTGTCTGTTTTCTGTCTGTCTCTCTCAAAAGCATGAGTTTATAAATATTTAATATTTACTCTGTCTATTGCATTAGATTAGATTCTCTAAATATGGCTGAATAAAAAATGTTAAATGTACAAGAATGTACAAAATCATTATTAAAATGATTTTAAAACTTTATGTAACTATTATTTTACTTTTAAATTAAAACTATTCATCATCAAAATTATTAAACAAACCATTAGCCTTCTAAAGTTATTTCTCCAAAATTTTGATGTTTCTGCCTAATACAAACACATCATTTTGAATAAATATATTTCATTTTTTTAATCAACCACGTTTGTTCTATAAAAATTGAAAAAAGTGTTTATAAAATTTGAAAAAAATGATGAGTCACCAAAAGGGCAAAAGGCAAAATTGAGGGAGCTGATCAATATGAAGAAATATGAAATAGGGGGCCTATTTAAGCATTCTAAATGATTCTTGAGGGGGCTGAAGCCTATTTCATTCTAAATGCTCATTACAAAATAAAAAACATAAAATTTTAATTATTTTAAACAAAGTTTAAAACAACAAAAATATCTGAAAATATTTACAATATTATGTTTATATGGTATATAATCCAACAGAAATTAAATAATTTTTATCATGCTCGAGAGCAGCATGTAAAAGAAAACGCTAAATTAAACACTCCTTCCGTTAAAAGTAACTTTATAGTCACTCTCAGTGTTGAGTATACTTTTCTATATGTTTAAATCTATTTTATATAGGTTTAAATTTAGAATAAAGTCTTCGCACTGTTCAGCAAACTGACTGTAAACTGTTTAGAAAACTTGAATAAAAGGAGTCTTGGGTAGATAGGATGATGTTTTTTAATTTAGTAAATGCTAACTTATGCTCAGTGGCAAGAGTTTGACAAGAATCTTTTCCTATTTTAAAATCTTTCATACACCTGAACTATAGGTTTAAGTTGAGAAAACTTAGACCTATAGATCAGGTGTATGAAACTTAGACCTATAGTTCAGGTGACCTTATACCTAAGTTGAGATATAAAAGTGTATTAAGAGGCTCTTGTATCTACCCAAGATCTCATCTCAGTTTTCTATTTTTATATAACAAATACTCTATTATTATAAGTAACTTGCATATAAAATGCTTAAATGGGCTAAAGTTCCATTTACCCTTTTGCCCCAATTATGAATCAGCGCTTTGTTTTGATTGTAAAAAAACTATTTTCTATTGTTACAAAACAAATACTCTTGAATAAAAATTTGAACGACACAACATGGCTGGCAGTCTCTTTGGCCATCATTTAGTACAATATCAGAAAAAAATTTTAAAAAATGGTAAATTATTATTTCTTAATAACAATTAAAAGTTATAATAATAATTATTAAGTGAATATTAATTACTAAAAATATATATTTACTTCAAGATTGTTAGACATATATTTTTTTGTTATTTCTATTTTTTATTAGATTATAATGCCAAACACTTCCTATGAGAATGGCAAAATGACACAGCTGTTTCAAGTAATAAGTGAACAATTCCCATATGTTACACTGACTACTGTTCAAAGAAAATATTTTAATGAAAGCAAAGGTGAATATAGTTTTTTTAAGAAAAGGATTATTTTTTCAATTTATACATTTTGAATTATAAATTTATTTAATTTCAGTTTTGAGTATCAGCAGCATCATACATATGTATACCCATGGCCATTAAATGCGTCTTAGCAGCTATTTTTTCTCTTTTATTTTATGTTATTTTATAACTAAAAAGTTTGCCCAAAATGATAATTAAAAGATATTTGTTTTTTAAACTAATTAATTTTTAGTCTTCTAATTGAATATTAAAATGAGCGCAAACTAAATATCTTTCCAGATCTTTAATGACAAAATTTCTAAGCATCAAGGTACTCATTTTGCTTTTGCTACTACAGTTTGAGAGTACACACTGACACACACATTGAGAGTACACACTGACACACACATTGAAACAGCTTAAGAGTACACACACATTATCGTTGCTTGAGGATGTTTATGACACTTTAGCTGGTACACCTATTTTTAAGACTAACAGAGAGTGTATGTATAATTAAAAATTAAGCTTTGGTTTGGTTTTGCGTTCGAAAATTAAGCTTGAGCATTGGTTTAGTATTACCATACTAGTAATTATACCATTGGTCCAAATTTAACTCCATTGCCCAGCTAGTGAAGATAAATCTGGAACATCATTAATAAAGCAATAGCGATAATGTATGTGTGTGTACTCTCAAAGGTAAACAGCATTGGTTTTAGCATCAAACATTGGGGAACACTGCAGGAACACTTCACAAGCATTGTGGAACACTGCATAAACATCTTAGAACACTTATTGTGGAATATATACAAATATTGTGGAACACTGCACAAACATTGTGAAACACTTCGCAAACATTGTGGAACATTGCACTGCATTAAAACTGTATTGTTTTACAAATAGAAAAAAAATGTTTTTTATTTGATTTACTAAAATATTTTTTCTAAAAAACTGATTTATTACTTGTAATTTTTTATAATGTTCTAGAAATTTTCAGAATATTCAAGTGTCCTCCAGAATGTTTTAGTATCTTTTTGAATGTATTGTAACCTTCCAGAACCATCCAAATTCTGGAAACTTGTAGAAACTTCTAGAACTTTCTAATGGATTATTCAACCTTTTTAAACCTTCTGAAACCTATAAAATTCACTTTTAACATTGAAACAACATTGAAAGTAGCAGTGAAAAAATAAACAGTACATATATAAGCTATTTAAAAGCAATTAATTGGCTTATTGGACAATCAGTTTTTCAGAAAGTAGTCTTCCTGCATATCAAGGTTTACTTTTGAGAATTACAAACTTATGGTTTCTTTTATCCAGTCAGAAACATTTCAATCTCAACAATTGCTATAGAAGTAATGGATGAAGCAAAAACCATTTATGAGATACTGGAAGTTATGACAAGGCTTAACTTCTGGTATGTAGATTGTATTTGGTAAGTTATGACAAGGCTTAACTTCTGGTATGTAGATTGTATTTGGTAAGTTATGACAAGGCTTAACTTCTGGTATGTAGATTGTATTTGGTAAGTTATGACAAGGCTTAACTTCTGGTATGTAGATTGTTTAAAATGCAAAACTTTGAATGCTTGCAATAAAATTGTGCATTTCTATGAGGTCTAGCATAAAAATAAGATTTCCAAATCAGAAAGAAACAAAAAATACATTAATTACGAAAGAAAGAAACAAAAAATACATTTTGCAGCAATTGAATGTTAAACGAAACATTGCTGTTGCTTGGATACAACTGTCACAAACAGTCAAAACACAAGCAACAGCTGTTTTGGATACACTGCTCATGGCAGACTCACCAAAATACCAAAAAGCTCCAAAATAAAATTTTTCTTGCTTGTAGATATTGTTTTCATGAGAATATCATAAAGCAAGTCTTCGAGACACTTTTTTGGAAATGATTTTTTGATTACAAAAGTGTCTACAAACATAATAAAAACATATAAAATTTGACAACACAAGTCAAAAAGTCTTTGCACTAAATTCAAGACCCTTAGTTGATACAGAAAAAAAATTAGGTCAGCAGTTTTTTCAGTGATCAACGACCATTCAAGAAAAGTAACCAAGAAGTGACTATATAAAACTTTAATACAAACTGAAAGTGCTTCTACTTGGAAAGAAACAACCAAATGGATTTGTTTTCTATAAACCATTTTCTTCTACAAAGTTTTTTGATGGCCATTCTTTTTTTAGAGTACATATATGTTTCTGTTCAAAAACGAGTTGCAACACTCTTCAAACAGTTTCTCTAAATTTTGAAGTTCTGATTTTTATGAAGAAACCGTATTCCTGCTCTAACTTAAGAAATGCTCCAATCAAAAAAGAAGTACATGGTGACTTACATGCAAAATTATCTTACTAGCTCTATTCACTTCTCTTGCAGTATTAAAAAGAAAATTAGATATTGCTCAGAAGCTCATAAACATTAGCCAATCTTCAACAATGCAACTTAAAATCCTATTGTCTGGTTTGCCAAACACTTCCATACAAGCGAGAAATAGTGTTTTGGCTTCCTATGTTTTTCCTATATCCTGGACACATTTTAAGTTTCTAAAAATTGAAGATTTCACATGGCTCTTTTCTAGCATCAAATGAATGAGTATACAACGAGTGCTAACACAAAGTCAGCCTCTTTAATTAAAAATCTTTTCTTTACAATTTCTACTGCAGAAAGTAGAATTGCAATGATGGCCAACTATGCGAAGTACCTCAGATGATAAAGAGCGCCAACTGATTGTGCAACCAGTGGAAGAGCATCAGAATTTATGATGTCATTAGAGCTGAGGAAGAAAAAAAAGATTTTATAAAATATCTCAGAGACCCAATCTCCTAGAAAAGTTACAATTCCTACATGCATTCATACATACTTACATATATACATACATACATACATACATACATACATACATACATACATACATACATACATTCATACATACTTACATATATACATACATACATACATACATACATACATACATACATACATACATACATACATACATACATACATACATACATACATACATACATACATACATACATACATACATACATACATACATACATACATACATACATACATGCATACATACATACATACATACATTTAGTTTATGTATAATAATATTATAAAATTGTATTTAATGTTTAGGTCTCCAGTACATTAGGCAGCTTTGTGTACCAGAATTTAATACTGTTGAAATGGATGTTCAGTCAAAGTATTGTCTTTTTTTTTCAGTTTTTGTATGGTTTTATGTTAATTTTTTTTTTTCTAATTTTTTAATGAATTATTTTAGGTATTATTGCTTAGCAACAGCAGCAGTAAGTTATTTGTGTTGTGTAGCAACAACAGCAGTAAGTTATTTGTGTTGTTTAGCAACAGCAGTAGTAAGTTATTTGTGTAGTGTAGCAACAACAGCAGTAAGTTGTTTGTGTTGTTTAGCAACAGCAGCAGTATGTTATTTGTGTTCTTTAGCAACAGCAGCAGTAAGTTATTTTAGTTGTTTAGCAACAGCAGCTGTTTCCTGTGTTTTTTTAAATAATTATCACCAATGTTATTTGGTAGATTGACTTAGATACATAACAATTGCATGTCTTTTAAGTCAATCATAATAATTAGAATTATAAGAAATATTTAATCTTATGTTTTTTTTTTATATTTAGGCACTCTTAAAATATGTTGAGTTCATTCAAAATGTGGTTTTTGCTCCTGCTTCCTTAAAAATTACTTACAAAGGAGGTGAAAAAACAGCACTTATAGGTAAGATTTACTATTAGGTAAAATCCTAATTGTTTATGTAATTATTTAATTATTTATTGTTCCTAATAAAAAATTATAATGCAAAGTATATTTTATTGTAATGCTAAGTGTATTTTATTGTAATGCTAAGTGTATTTTATTGTAATGCTAAGTGTATTTTATTGTAATGCTAAGTGTATTTTATTGTAATGCTAAGTGTATTTTATTGTAATGCTAAGTGTATTTTATTGTAATGCTAAGTGTATTTTAGTAGTATTTAAATACTTTTTTACTTGCAAAAAAAGTTTTTTCGGAAAATAAATTTTATTTAACTATGAATTAAAGTTTTAATTTAATTTTTTAAATTTCTTACGAATCTATTTTTTTGATATATCTTGTACATTTCTACTTTACTTATAAAGTTTCTCACACAGAAAGAGAGAGCATTTTTTTTATATTTTTCAACTAAGTTAGTTGCAGGAGTATTGACTTCTTGAAAGTTTTTATAAATACCCAAGAATTTAAGTTTCAATAATGATTGTGTTTAGACATGACTGCTGCACGTCATCTGGAATTAGTTCACAACTTAAGAAATCCAAAAAGCAAACAATCTTTGTATGGAGTACTGAATTATACAAAAACAGCTGGGGGAGGTACAATTTTGTTTTGCATCATTAAATAATGAAGTTTCTAATATTGTTGCCAACTTTTGTTTTAATAATTTATTTTAATAATATTTGAAAATTGGGTTTTTTAAACTTTTTTTTTCTTTATTGGCATAAGTCTGCATGCCTAGCACTAGAATTTATTTGAAAAATTATTTTCATCTTGTTCTGAATAGTTATTCTTTTTTTAATTTTGAATGATTTTAAAATCTTTTAAAAAACTTTACTTTTTTTTCTTGCTTCATTTTACATTAGGTGTTTTGTTCATTTAAAAAAGAATGGGAAAAATGTGTACCATATATTATTTTTTTATACAAATAAAAAAATTGAAATTATGGATAAGATTTTGTTATGTTAAATAATAATAGTTAGAATGGTTTGAAGATTAAAGATATTAAATTAATTGTTAAAAATAATGTTACAAACATTAAAACATATAATGTTAAATTAATTAAGAATACTTAAATAGTTAAGAGTAAATGAGTAGTTTTATTAAGGATAATTCTAAGGAGTGATTTGACTTGTCTAACTATTGTCCCATTAGTCTTCCTCCTATCATAAGGAAAGTTTTTGAGTTTTTAATTAACAAACAATTAATCTTGAATCTAATAAATTACTTTCTGATCATCAATATTGATTTTGATCTTCTGGTTTTACTGTTGTTTTGTTAATGGTAATAACTGATAGGTTTTATTGTGCATTAGATGTAAAGAGGTTAAAGCTATCGCTCTCAACATTTCTAAAGCCTTTGATAAAGTTTGGCATGCTGGTCATCTCCATAAGCTGTTTTCTTATAGTGTATCAGATCACATCTTTAAGATTATTGAATCCTTTCTTACCAATAGTAGTATAAAAGTTGTCAATAGGACAACTTTTATACTTTAACTTCAAGAGTTCCTCAATGTTCTACCCTTGACCCTATACTTTTTTAAATTTACATTAACAATCTCCCAGAAATTCTCACATCTAAGGTGGCCCTCAATACTGTCATTTACTCTTGTCTTGATAAGAAGCCATCATATGGAATACTGTTGCCATATCTGGACTGAATCTTCGAATGATGCCCTTTCTCTTATAGACAAGGTGCAAAAATGCATTGTAAACATAGTTGGACCTGCTCTTGCAGCCAACCTTCAACCATTATAATTACTAAATAATAAAATAATAATATTACATTAACTAATTACTTAAGCATTCTTAATTGCTTTAAAGTTTTTATTAAATGCAATATTCATACTTTTAACAAATACTTGTAGCTCCAAGTTTCATACTTTATAGTGAATATAAATCTCCTTACAGATTGAGATTTGTTATATGGAAAAGTTAAAAAGTAAATGCAAAGCTTTTAAAAATTGAAAAGTAAAAAATATTTGAAATTAGATTTTGAAACTATATTTGAAATTAGATTTTGAAACTAGATTTTGAAATTTTTTCTCCAAAAAAAGTAAAGAAACTTTTCTAACAAAATAGATTTTGTAGCACCTTACAAAATGCTTGTAAATATCTTTGATGTTTGTGACATTATTTAATAATAATTGTTTGACTTATTATATGCAAACAATAGGCTTACTTGTAAGCAAACCAGTTTGGCAATCAACCCAGTAACAAAAATACCAGTTTGCCAATCAAACCATATAAATTATGTGGTTTAATTTTGATCATTAATATTAAATGTTTATGTTTTAAATATTGCAACACTAACAAGCCATAACTAAGTAACCGACAGTATCTAATAATTCAGTGGTGCATAGGTTTATGGTTGAAACACTAAAGCAAATTTTATTTTTAAAAAAAGAGGAAAACATCTGTTAAAAAAAAGGTAGGAAAAGATAAAAAAGAATTTCTAGTATTTTTATTGAGTTAATTATTTAATTTGTTAAATTTTTTTAAAATTAAAACAACAAAGTTTTTACTTAGAACTAAAATAAAAAAATTTTGAAATATTTTTATTTATTGTTGATTCTGTGTGAAATACATTTTTCACACAGAATCAACAATATGTTGGTGTTTTCATTTCTAGCTCGCTTGTTGAGGTCAAACATTTTGCAACCTCCTTGTGGTAAGAATTAAAAATTATTAAATATTTTATCAAAAAATATTTTTACTATAAATCTTACAAGAATTTTTAAAGCAGATTATATGTAAAATATGTACTATTTAAATATAAGTTACAGAAAATAATAAGTTAAAAATCAATTAAAAACTTAAGTTAATTAAATATGATAGCATTTGTATATATATATATATAATATATATATATATATATATATATATATATATATATATATATATATATATATATATATATATATATATATATATATATATGTATATATATATATGTATATATATATATATATATATATATATATATATATATATATATATATATAATATATATATATATATATATATATATATATATATATATATATATATATAGCGTGGAAAATAAGGAGTTGAAGGCCAGCGGTCAATTTGACCAGCCAACTCAAGGAATTGATGGTCAATTTTTTTTTGACGGTAAAAATTTTTTCTTTTTTCTTTTTTTAAATTTTAGTAATCTTGGCTGCAGGTCGTTAAAGCGAAAAGATGTTAAAATGAATTTATTTTGTTCTTTTATAATACAATATAGCCTGCTTTTTATCTTTTTTAAAAAATGTTGTTTTTTAAAATTTTTCAAAAATTTAAATTACTAAATAAATAAATTTTTATATTAAACTTTGCTCTTTTATAATATAATACAGCCTGGTTTTTATATATTTTTTGAATTTTGTTTTTTAAAATTTTTTTAAAATTTAAATTAATAAATATTTTACCAACAATTTTATATTATTAATTTTAAAACTTTTAAGTTTATGAAATTATATAAAAAATTTATTTTTATTAAAAAGAAACCAGTAGCTTTTACGCTCTTTTTTTTTTTCGCTTTAATGACCCTGAGCCATTCTGCGTGACTAAATTTTATAAATACAAAAAAAAGTTATAGCTTGAAGATATATGACTTAAGGAATAAAAAATTGTTTTAATCAATTAATTTTAAATATAATCAATGCTTTTTTTAAAAGCGCAAACACGCAATTTATAATTTTTAATTTATTTAAAAATAATTCATTTTATTGTAATGATTAAGCAAATGGTGGGAAAAGCTGAGCGAAAAATAATAGGAAAGATTAAATGAAAAAAAAGTACAGTTGAGATTATGCTCTCTATTACATATATTAATTTCAAATAATAATGAAATAAATCTCTGAAGTTAAAGAAGAAAAACTTTCGCACATTTTATATCACTTGCTCATTAAAAACATTTCAAAAACCACTAATATTAATTAGTTAATAATAATGTTACTAACTTTTGTTTGCAACTTAAACTGTTTTGATTGCAACTTAAACTGTTTAAACTGAATGTTTAATAATTAAAATTTTTTTAAACATTTGTCTTCAAAAACACATTTTTCTTCAAAAACACAAAAAACAAATTTATAAAAATTTAATTTTAAAATAATAAATAATTTGTTTAATGAAACTCTATAAAAATTATTAAATTTACATAAAACAAGGTTTTTAATAATTATCTAAATATATTTTTTAATAATCCTGTTACAAAAACAAATTTTGAGTTAAAATGTTTAGTTATTTAAAAAGTAATTTTTAATTTAAATATAAACCATTCATTCATTTATTTGCAATTTGCTGCAAAACTTACGAGAAATAATAAGACTTTAAGAAAAAAAAAAAAAATAAGTGCAGATGAAAGAAAAACTGTTCATTGTTAAAAACATAATATATTTTATATTATTATATTATTAGCAAAATAAAACATAAAATTTTTGTATTAAAATAGTAATAAAATAAGAACTTCAATCATTAGAGAAAAAAGGATTTTTACTAAGAAACAAAAAACTTATGATTTTAATGATTATATCGTTATGTATACGTTATGTTACGTCTCGTTACATATACGTTATGTTTGTCATGAGCACTAATTTCGTCAATCAAGAGAATGAATGAAGTCAGGCAGAAAAGTTACTGGTCTCTATTAATATGCAATAATTATTAGATAAAAGTTTTAAAAACAATAAGTTTTATATTCATCGCCAACTTGAAAAAGGGAACAAGGGTTATGTGAATTTTTGCAGGAGGACCCACTAGCAATTAAAGTAGCGTATTATAAACAAGAAAACTATTTAAAACTCTTTTTCAAAATTCAAATAGTTTATTAAAATTTTATTAGATGCATTTTTAAAATAACATCCTGATTTTTTGTCAAACCTTGTTTTAAATCTCTGATTTTTTTTTTAACCGCTAAACCATGACCGACGAGAACTTATTTTTGGAGGTCAAAATAGCAATTTTAGTCATTTCAGGCGGTCATTGACAGTTGATGGACTGTTATTTTCCACGCTGTGTATATATATATATATATATATATATATTATATATATATGTATATATATATATATATATATATATATATATATATATAATATATATATATATATATATATATATATATATATATATATATATATGTGTGTGATGCCATATCCGCTCTAGATATGGCAACAGTATTCTATAATAAAAGATTGATCATAAAATGGAAAAGAAAAAATCAAGACCTGTGGATTACAGATAAGTGCACCTATTAAAGTGGAAAAATTAGAAATGAAAATTAGAATTAAAATTTAAAAATAAAATTTTGAGTATGTTTTAGTATTTAAAGTATCAAAAAAGAGATGTAAGAAATAAGGAAAAACAAAAATAAAATATTTAAATTAATATTTTGCAGTTTTTTAAAATAAAAAAAGAAGAATGAACAGTTTCATCACAGCTTAAATAGATTCACTAACATACAACTATATAGTATAACATATAACAGTGTTTACAATTTATCTTTACTCATCTGTAGATCTTCAAACAATACAAACAAGATTCGATTGTGTTGAGGAACTTGTAGAGAAAGAAGAACTTTTTCTTAATTTACAAGCTAGTAAGAAAATTTTTTACTAAGATTGTTTTTAGAGAAAAACAAAAATTAGATGTTATCAAAATTGTAAACAAAATTGTTATATGTTAATAGGAGTATTGTTTTTTAGTAATAAGCAAGTTTCTTGATGTCGATCATTTGATATCATCTACTGTTCAAATTCCAAAGAAAGAAGGCATCAAAGTATTTGAAAGAAAAATAGCAGAAATAATTTTTTTAAAACACACTATAGAACTTGTTCAAATACTACAAAATGCATTAGCTGATGGCCAAAATAGTTTATTTAAAGCATATTATCAGGTAAAAAAAGAGCAATTTGAATAAATATTTGATTGGCTGATAATGACTGTAAAATGATTGGTTGATTTATGATATTTAATTAACATATGGTAGATGATTGCTTGACTTATGATATTTAATTAACATATAATAAATAATTTGTTGACTTATGATATTTAATTAACATATAACAAATGATTGGTTGACCTATGATATTTAATTAACATGTGATAAATGGTTGGTTAAATTATGATATTTAATTAACATATGATAAGTTTATGATGATTAGCACATTATAATGATTAGCCTAATGATTGGTTGGTAATGTTAGCAAATGATGATGGTTTTATTGTATTTAACTTTAAAATTTTTAACTTTTTATTTACAACTTTTTTTAACCTTAGTCATTAGATGATTCACGATTTGCAAATCTTTTGGAGCAAATCAAAACTGTCATTCATGAAGAAAGTCGTTACCAAAAAGGTGCTCTTAACATGCGCACACAAAAGTTGTTTGCTGTTAAGGTTGACTTGTCAATATAAATATTTTTATATGTGTTTTGCTTAACTTTTATCACATTTTTGCTTTATTTGCTTATTATTATTTAAAAATAAGCTTATTAATAATTAATTATAATATTAAATATAGTTTTTGCATTTACATTTTAGCCAAACGTCAATGGTGAGTTTATAATTTAATTCCCCTTAATATGCTTTTTATAATAAATTTTTATCAAGCAAATGATATGAATCTTTTTTTTTATCTCTGTATTATCCATGTTGAAATACACATGTTAAATATGTTAAATATTAAATTGAGCAAATCTACAGTTGGATTAACCCACTTACAGACTAGTTCTATTTTATATATATGTATATGTATGTATGTATATATATATATATATATATATATATATATATATATATATATATATATAATAATATATATATATATATATATATATATATATATACATATATTATGTAACTAAAATATGTTGGTTTTTTTGGCAGGTTTGTTAGATGTTGCACGTCGCACTCACTGTGAGGTAGTAGATGATATAACAGGTAAAATAAATAATACATTATTATTACATTAAGTTCTTTATATATTTTTTCCATTGCTTTTTATTGTTTTTTTGTTTTGTTTGTATGCTAACTCACTCCCAACAAGGCTGCAAGCAACCACTCTTAGGTTGGGAAATACTAAAAAAAGAAGAATTTTTTTAAGACCAAAAAAATGGTTTACATAAAACTTGTAGGTTGTATGAGTCAGAAAAACATTAAGATGGGATAAAGTTCCTAAGCGTTGATGTGCAAGAAAAGAAACTAGGTGAATAAAAGTATTAAGATCATGAAAGGAAAGATACAGTAAAAAGATGTGACTTGCTCAATGATGAGTTAAACTAGAATAAGAACTAAAGATGACAGCTTGTTTGAGGAACAAGATTTAAATACATTTACAATGCGTTTTTTGAACTTTTCTAGAAGACAAAGAGCATCATTAGAAGAATTAACTCTATTATAGCAATAGTATTATGGGAATAGGGACAAATAATAGATTTGTAGAGTTAGAAAATGGAATTGGGAGTAAGAAAATTGCATGCACAATAAAGAGAATCAACCTTAGCAGGTGTTAAATTTGCAATAAAATGTATTTGGTTTCACAGAGGTCAGTAGTGAATAGGGTGATCATTAAAACAACTTTTTTGAGAAAAACTTGCTTCTACTCCCTAAATGTGTTCTATCTAATACAAAAACGCGAGGTTTAAAATTTTTTTGAATAAAAAATATTTTAAGGGGTTCCTCAAGACTCTCTATTATTTAATGGGTTCCTAATATTTTCAAAAAAAATGTTTTTCAAAAATATGTCAATCTGATAGTCAAATGAAGTGAAATTATATAAAAATTTCAAAAATATATTCATTTTGAAAAAATTTTAACTTATTTATCAAAATTATTATAAAAAAACATAAAAAATAACAATTTTTTTCAAAATGAATATTATTTTTGAAATTTTTATATAATTTTGCTTTATTTGAGTACCAGGTTGACATGTTTTTGAAAAACTTTTTTTTTGAAAATATTAGAGACCCATTAAATATTCGAGGGTCTTGAGGGAACCCTTAAAATATTTTTTATTCAAAAAAAAATTTAAATCTAGTGTTTTTGTATTAGAAAGAACACATTTAGGGGGTGGGAGCAAGTTTTTCTCAAAAAAGTTGTTTTAAGGGCCACCCTAGTAGTGAATAATAGTCTAAGAAGATGTAAAGTAAAGTGAGTGGGTTGCTATTCATAAATATAAAAATGTCAAATTCTGATAGTGGTTTGTGGTAAATAAATGAGTTTCGTTGGAGTTAAAATTCACAAGTTGTTACAGAAGTTTTTATATCACATAAGTTACAGAAGTTTTTATATCACAATAGGGCTATTGCTCTTAGAATTTTGTTGATTAAAGACTCGAAAATCTTGCTAATAATAGAGAGAAGACTGGTTGGTTGATTGTTGGAGGGGACAGAGTTTTTAAAAATTGGGATCACGCTGTTTTCCAACTAACAGGAAAATAATATTGAGTCAAGCACTTATAAATAGTTTAGAGAAAATTGAAGAGAAAAGACTTAGAAAACTGAAAAACATTAAGAACTTCGAGATAAGATTAAGTAAACATTACAAAGGAGTATTGAATCTTAGCATCGGAATGATTACCATTGTGATACTAATATTTAACACTCATTTTTATATTAAATTCTGTCAATAATAAAATTATATCCATTTTTCAGAAGAAATGGACATCTTTTGAAAATAAAAAAAAGTACAATTTTTTGTGTGAAAAAAATTAAAAATAGCAGCTGCACAAGTAAACCATGGAGTAGAATGAGGCTTTAAATAATATTTATGTTAATAAATTTATAGGATGCTACTGACAAATATTATTTATTATGCTTGTTAAGTGATAAATTATATTAAAAAATGTTTAGAAATGATTCACCAAGAAGCTACATCAACAGGTCTTATGTTAACACCAAATTATAACAATACCAGAGGTTTCCACATCACTCTCAACACTTATGGTAATAACAATTTAGTTGATGCTCTTCCTTCACATTTTATAAAAGTTGTTCGAGCAAAATCTGTGATCAGTTGCACTACTGAAGATTTGGTAAGTATTGTGTTTTTGTAACAATTTCATGCTTTTCACTTTCTCTTGGTAAATGTGATTTAAATAAAAAAAATTCAGATTACAAAAAAAATATGTTTGTTTTTCTTTTGTTAAGTTTAATTGATTTTATTTTTAAAAAAATGCATTTTTTTTAATTACTTTTTTTCTTTTTTTCATTTTTCTATTATTTTTTTGGTCCATGAAAGATCAAGTTAAACAGTAAGTCTTAGTTAACTAGTTAAATGTTAGGTTGTAGTTAACATTATTTAGTTAAAAATTATTTTATGGTTGCATTTTTTTCAAATTTTTCTTCTTTAGCAAGATTGGACGAGTCATTAGAAGAAATATACTTTTTGTCAAACATGTATGATTTTTTTAATGTTTATATTCAAGGCTGTATTATTTGTTGTGCTATCAACTGACATCCCATAATTCTCTTCAAAAATTAATTAAACATTAATCATGTCATGTGTGGGGTTAACTTTTTCAATCCCTCATTCCAGTGCTACTATCCCAACAAGTATGCAAAGTTTCAATAATGCTTGTAATACTGTGTTAATTTTTTTAAATAGATGTTTTGTCTTTAAATTTTTTTTTCTTTTAACTAGAAATATGTATTTGTGGCTGCTTGCTATTTTTTTCTAATTATATTTTTGTACAAATATTGTTAGGGTTGTGGGAGAACTAATGAAAAATATCAGAGATCAAATTGGTTGTTTATATAAGCTGGCTGAATGTATATCAACTTTGGATCTACTTGTTTCTTTAGCTCACGCTTGCACTCTCTCTAATTACAGTGAGAAAATTTTTATATTTGTTAAAACTGTTTTTATTAAATTACTGCAGGTAGAAGAAAATTTTATATCTATTTTAGTTTCAAAAATGACTATGTTTAACATTTTAGTACGGCCAGAGTTTACAGATACTCTTGCCCTAAAACAATCTCGCCATCCAGTTCTTGATCGGATGTCATCCTTGCCTATTATTCCAAATGATGTGGTATAATTAGATTATATTTACTGTTTATTAAAGACAATGCAATTTTTTACAATTTTAAATTATTACAAATAATTAATTACAAGATATGATCTTTAAATATTACAAATAAATATAGTTAAGATAGAATAATGCAAGTAAATAAAATTATTTATAAAAATTGTTTTTGTAAGTTTAGTTATTAAATACTATAATTATTATTTTATTTAATTTTTTTAGTATGCTTCTGATGTTTCAAACTTTATATTAATAACAGGACCAAATATGGTATAATAATATGATATATTAAAGTTATTGATTAGGATAATAGTTTTGTGGTTAGTTTACTTGAATTTAAGTTTGTTATTATTATTTATTATTGGTTTGGTTTTATAAAAAGTTTTTTTTAGTATTAAAAGTTTTTTTTAGTATTAAAAGTTTTATTTTAGATATTAAATAAAATTTTTAACATGAAAATAGTTGTAATATTTATAAGTTTGTATTTCTGTGATATATTATATTATGCACAATATAGTTATAGTATTATAAATTTATATTATTTGTATATTATTTTTGTCATGATATACATTGGTTTATGTTTGTTTTACTTGTTGTAATTGTTCATAGTTATAAAAAACATTCAAAAAAAAGTTTATTTTAGAGTGGTAAATCTACATACCTGCGTCAAATAGCTTTGTTACAAATTATGGCTCAATGTGGTTCTTTTGTCCCAGCTGAATATGCATCCTTTCGCTTAACAAATCAAATATTTGTTCGTATTGGAAGTGATGATGACATTGAAACAAACTGTTCTACTTTTAAATTAGAGGTATCAGATAAAATAAAACATACAACAATTCAACTCTTATATATATGTATGCGTATATATACTTTTGTTTTATTCATTATTTATAAATTGTTCAATTTAATTAGTAAACTATTATTATTAAAAATATCAAATGCTGTTTGTAAATTTTTCATAACTGTTGCCTCAACTAAGTCAAAATCTAACTATAAAGTCAAAATCAATTATACTAAATTATACTTTTTAGTGTGGAAATTAATTTATTATAGGTTTTTTTGTATTTAAAACAATCAGTGTAACAGAAATTTTATCATATTTTAAAAAAGAAATGTTTAGAAAGCTTTTGGTCATGATAACATTTCTCCCAAAATTTTACATGACAGAACTAGTGCCGTTTCATAACTGTTTTTAAATTCTAAGCTAAAATGCTTCACTGAATTTTTTTTAGCAGACATTTTTTTTAGCAGACATTAAAGCTTTTAATTTTTGCAGACATTAAAGCTTTAATGATCAGTAACATTTTTTTTCTCATATACTTTAATGAAATGTATTATCACTGTTTAAACCACATGGTAATTATTACATACACATGTTGTAATTTATTTATAAGACAGCTTTGAATTGGTAAACCTCAGTAAAATTAAAATAGGCTTTAACATTTGCATTAAAGATAATAAGCACAGATGTTTCTTACACCTTGGTGTAGATGTAAATCTTGGTATAAATGAGCATTTATTTGTCCAATTATGCTCCTTATATGGAGCTCTCTCTTTCTCCCTCTCTTTCTCTCTCTCTCTCTCTCTCTCTCTCTTTCTCTCTCTCTTTATATATATATATACATACATATATATATATATATATATATATATATATATATATATATATATATATATATATATATATATATATATATATATATATATATATATATATATATATATATATATATATATATATAAATATATATATATATATACACACACACAGATAGATACATATATACGTATATATATATACATATATATATATATATATATATATATATATACATATATATATATATATATATATATATATATATATATACATATATATATATATATATATATATATATATATATATATATATATATATGTATGTATATATATATATATGTATATATATATATATATACACACACAGATAGATACATATATATATGTATATATATACATATATATATATATATATATATATATATATATATATATATATATAAAATATATATATATATATATATATATATATATATATATATATATATATATATATATACATACAGATAATAGATTTATAAAGGTAGAAAATAAAATCAGATTGAAGGTATGATAAAAAGTAGTTACTTTAGAAGATACTAGCTTTTTTGGCGTTCTTTTGGCGCACTTATGCCAGTTCGTACTTATGGCAATGTTTGCAAATTCTTTAGGCGCACTTATGCCAGTTAGCACTTTTGAAATTTGCGCTTATTCAGTTGTCCCATACTAATATTTCAGGTACTAATAGATAACTAACTTTCTAACAGATTATATGTGTGGTTTCCGTGAGAGGCCAGTAATGAAAAACTATAATTGTATATATGACTATTATCAAATAATAGTTGAATACATCACCACTAATAAATATAAGATAAGTATTATATAATAAACTGTTAGAAAATAATAATTAAACATATGCACATAATAATTAAAAATATGAAAGTACGATTAGTAAGTAGAGCCACATAAGTAAGGTTTTTATGGGGATTAGTAATGTCAATGAGAAATAATATGGGACCAAGGGTAGAATTTTATATTTCATTATGCTGTCATTTTTCATGAAGTTTGGTAAAAAGTTTCTTTTTTTTTCTTCTTTTTTTTCCTATCATTTAAGGTATTATTTACTGTATTTATATATGTTTCTGCATATTCTTTAGATGAAGGAGATGAATTATATACTTCAGGTAAATGTACAAATTATTTTAAAAATAATATATGGTATATTTTAAAATGATAAAAAAAGGTTATTAAATAATGATTTTTTAGCAGAGAAAAATATTGTCTCGGTGTTTAGTTATTTTCTTTTGTTAGTTAAGACATATCTAATATCTAGTTACTATTAGATGTTATTTATTACATTATTTATTATATTGTTTATAGTAGTTTATATGTAATACATTTTGTTTTTCTTTTCTTTCGAAATTTTTTGACTCTACTTAAAGTTATAAACATGTTTTTACAATATTTTCTCATAAGAATATTTTCACCAGTCACTTAGCAACCTCTTATCATAACTAGTAACAACAAGTTTAAAAACTTTTGCACACATACATAAACATATTCGGTATCACTACATCATGTCAATGAGTTTCAATAAAGGCAAAATAAGATTTTACGAGAAATTGATAGTATATTGTTCCTTCAACTGGTTATGGATTCATTTTTGTTGTTGCATTGATGTAATAAAATTTAAATTTTTAACAAAATAATTGTTATATGGTTAAAATACAGTTATTTTGCTTTGTCTTTAGAATATCAGAGATGACTCTTTGCTTATTGTTGATGAACTTGGTCGAGGTTTAATTTTGTTTTTTTTGTTCATTAAATATTACTATGATTGTTAATATTCATCTTAGTAAATATGATAAAAATCAAAATGTTTGTTAGTAATTACAACAAATAAAATTTGTGTTATTGATTTCTTATTTTTAAGGCACCAGTGTTGAAGAAGGTGTTGGAATTACTTTTAGTATATGTGAATATTTGCTGTCTAAAAAAGTATAATTCATTATTTTAATCTTAATATAATTCATAGTATTCATATTCATTAAAAGAATAATTCATTATTTTAATCTTTTTTTTTTTATTTTTTTTTTTTTTTTTGGAATTATAAGTACAGAATTTTTTTTTTTTTTTTGTGCATGTTTTTATTTTAAATATGATTTGAATGTTATTTAGTAATTTTTATTTCATTCTTTTTAATAAATTTCATGTTTTAATTTTTCCAAATATAAACCCAGAGATACCTTACTTCATTTTCTATCAGATGTACCTTTTTTCTTGAGATAAATGATAAAAAATGGATTTTGGCGACTCCTTTAATATTATGTATCACCCCTTTTTTTATGCTTTTTTATATTTAGATCATGTATAAAATGCTTTTCCTGATTATTTTTAGGCATTCACATATTTTGCTACCCACTTTCATTCTCTTTGCGATTTGGAAAATCTCTATCCCAATGTGGAAAAGTATTGATTTGATTTTTAGAAACATTTTTAGCATTATTTTTTTAAATTTTTGAAAATAATTTTTGTTAAATCAAAAATTATAATAAATATTCAACATAATTAAGTGTAAATTAATAACTATAAAAATAATAAATATGTAATATATGCAAACATGTTTTAACAAGTTGTCATAAAAAATCTATAACTTAAATATCCTTTAAGCTTTTTGTTTTTTTAAAACTGGCAACTATAAACTTTTTATTCTTTTATGACCATAGCATTTTTTTAAATTGTCATTTTATTTTTATTATAATAATTTTATTTTAGTTATAACTTTGAAGTTCAGGTAACTTTTATTATTTTTGTTATTACTCAAGTATCTTTTATAGATATATATACATATGCCTTAACTTTGTTGTTATGATTTAGTCTTTTACTTAATACTAGAGTTTTATTTGATTGTAATAGTAAATAGGTAATTATTTTAGCAAGTTGTTGATCAAAATCAAAGCACTGAAAACATGCAATTTACCCATGTATTAGTGAAGGGACGAACTACTGTCGAAAACTATGGTAACATAAATTTAAACAGATTGCTATTCTAATTAAAAGAATTTTGCAACAAAAAATCAGTTTTTAAATCCATTAAATTGATACATATGAGTTAAAAATAGTTTTTTTATTTATTGTTAATATGCTTTCTTTTCTTTTCTTTTTTTCTTTCTTTTTTTATCCTAAATCCTTTTTTTTTTTTAATTATTCACCTCCCAAGGCCACTAAAGTCAAGGAGGCTAATTTTGCGGTTACAACCTTCACTTAACTCTATAACTCCGAAACATGAACCTTGACAAACAAGGCCGCTGCGCGGAGAAAGTTGAGCGCAACACTACCAGGAACGTGTTCGGGACTTTAGGACTAATAAGATTTTTTAATTAGAGCAAGCAATAACAAAACTAATAAATATATATATTTTTTAATGTTTATCTTAAGTTTAAAAAAAATTTAAAAAGGATTGAGAAAAAAGAATTTACTCTATTATTATGCATCTACCATATTGTATATATTAAAAAACATATTTTTATCATGTTATGGCCCTAAAAATATTGTGATCAGTTTGTGAGGATTTTATTCTATAATTTTGTATATATTATAATCTTATTGTATATATTAATTTAATATATACAATAAGATTATAATATATACAAAATTATAGAATAAAATCCTCACAAACTGATCACAATATTTTTAGGGCCATAACATGATAAAAATATGTTTTTTAATATTTAATAATTTTTAATAAAAACATTTCCATCATGTAATGGCCCTAAAAATATTGTGATCAGTTTGTTTGGATTTTACTCTATAATTTTTGTTAAGGGCTCAAATTGGCTGAAATGTCAACTTTACCAGTAGAATTAGTTGAAAAAGCAAAACAAATAGCATTGCAACTTCAACAGAGAAAAAATGTATATTTTTCTTCATTTATTTGCTATTTTTATATATGTGAATAAATAAAAAATTATGTTAGTGTATAAATTAAAAATTATGTTAGTGTATTCTACAAAAAGAGTGCTCAATGTTCTTAAAGAACAGAGCAATATTAAATTAGTAAAAACACTTATCTAATTTTTATTTTCTTCTACAGCATGTTTCTCCATCAGTAGGATCATCAGGAAGGCTTCCTGATGATCCTACTGATGGAGAAACATGCTGTAGAAGATACTAATTTATACATATGTATATATTTATATATATATATATATATATATATATATATATATATATATATATATATATATATATATATATATATATTTATATATATATATATATACATATATATATATATATATATATATATATATATATATATATATATATATATATATATATATATATATATATATATATATATATATATATATATATATACATATATATATATATATATATATATATATATATATATATATATATATATATATATATATATATATATATATATATATTATATATATATATATATATTTATATATATATATATTTATATATATATATATATATATATATATATATATATATATTTATATATATATATATATTTATATATATATATAAGGAGTAGTGCTGCATTTTTGGTCTTTGAGATCACTAACTTCCAAACATGGACCAAACTCCAAACATTTATATGTTTACTTGTGTCAAATAAGGATGCTTTGCAAAAAATTGCGATGATTGGACCCTGGGAATAAAAATGCCCCAAATGTGAGAGCAACAAGTTGATGAAATATTTTTTGTACTATTTTCAACTAGACTTATATTAATCGATAAATTTTAAATTTCATAGTAAAATATTTTAGCGTTCAAAAATTATGGCCCTATAAAATTTGCAACTCCCTCAAATTGAGGGGTATAAACTTTATATGGTCATAATTTTTGAACGCTAAAATATTTTACTATGAAATTCAAAATTTATCGATGAATATAAGTCTAGTTGAAAATAGTACAAAAAATATTTCATCCACTTGTTGCTCTCATATATATATATCTCATATATATATATATATATATATATATATATATATATATATATATATATATATATATATATATATATATATATATATATATATATAAAGTACTTTATTTTTTTTAAAGGAAAACCAAAAATCATTGGAATCCTCCAAAAGAGAGAAAGCTGTATTCAGGCTCGTTACTCGACTATTGCAAGCAGCGAAAAATTCTCGCTTAGATGAGGAAACTCTTCGTTTATATTTATCAGGTTTAAAAAGACAATTCATTGCAGATATTTCCGAAGAATAAGCTTCATGTAAGGTGTAATACACTCACAATTATGAGGTGACACTCGCAGTTACAACTTTTACAACACTTATAGTCACGTCAGCATTTTTTTACTTGAACTCATTTCATACGTGGTTCCCTCACTAATATTTAGAGTTCAAACGTCGAATAAATGGTTATATTTTATTGTTTTTATATCATATAAATCTTTTTAAACTCCGTAAAACTGAAATTATTTTATTTAAAATTCCCTTGAATTCATTAATTTTTTGTTTACGTACTAATAAAGGATCGCTTAAGGATCGTGTAATTTATGTACGATCCCTCATTATTGGCAGCGCTACATTTATTTAAAACTGTGTTATATTTTTTAAAGATCATTTGGTTTTTGGCGCGGCGATTTTCTCTGAAGTTAAAGGGCTTTTTTAAGTTTTAATACAATTAAAAACTGCAAGGAAAAAAATGAGTTTTTTGATTTTGTTTATTAATTAAATTTAGCATCGCGTATTTTTTGGACTACCCCTAACCTTACACTAAAATTTTAATGTAAGGCTATTTTGAAAAAATAGCATCTATCGAAATGCAAAAATTTTTTCGCGAAACGATTATGAATATCATTTCCTTTTTTAGTAAACTTTGAGATATAGCCAACTTTCCGAAGGAAAATCGGAAAGTTTTCTTACTTTGCGTATACTTTATAAAAAAAATATTAATAAAAAGATTTTATTTTTTTTAATAATTATATAAGAACAAAAACACGTTTGGCAACCCTAGCAAAGATTTTGCAATTTTTTTTTTGAGTTTTTTCTAGTGTGTGTATATATATATATATATATATATATATATATATATATATATATATATATATATATATATATATATATATATATATATACATATATATATATATATATATATATATATATATATATATATATATATATATATATATATATATATATATATATATATATATATATATATATGTATATATATGTATATATAAAATTTAGATTACGTGTAATATAAGGATTTCACATTAAATAAGAGCTTTTGTATTTTCAGATCTTTTTTTTAAATTTTATATATTATAATTACTTTCAACGTGGAATGTTAATGGAATAGTTTTTGTTGTTGTTGCTGTTGTTGTTGTTGCTGTGGTTTTTCTTCTAAGTATTAGAAGAAGTAATTTCAATTCTTTAACCATGTGTTCTTATTAATAAAAATGTGATACATGCTCATATCAAACAAAATTAGTCTTAAAAAAAATTGGCTTTTTCGATAGGGTCATACTCTTTTCCTTAGGGTCAAAAAAGTTTTATTTGACCCGAGTGCTGTAAATGAAACCTGGCAAAACCCTCTGAAGATTTAGACTCTAATAACACAAAATGAGAGCAGGTAAACCTCCAGAAAAGAAAGAATAATTAAAATAATTAAAAGAATAAACAATTTAAAGTTTTAGTTTACTTTGATTAACAATTATTCTTTTTTAAAAAAAAAAAAAAACTTTATATTATTGCAATGGTTTGGTTATTTAAGTATTAATCTAGACTATACATTTTGAATATTTGATATTGACTTAAATTTAAAATGGTAAAAGATTTATTGATCAAATTCTAAATCTTATAACTTTTATGAAACAAGTTTTTTTTTTATGAAAATGACTTAAGTAAGCGTTGTTATGGTAATAACTTAAGTTAAGGCTACTTTTTTTTTCAAATATTATTTATTTTCGGTCACATATTATTTTTTTGGCTGCGTAATGAAATATCGTCAATTATATGAATGTATCAGAAGTAATAGATTTTGTTCTGTGCTCTCAGATTATATCTGATTTGAATGACTTCAATAAACAAGAGAAAATCGAGACGATATGCAAAATTATAGTGAATCACTTGACAAGAGAGAAATTGACTTTAGAGTAGTGACTGAAAATATCCTTTTCACTTTGAAATGTATTATCATACCATTACGCAATTCTATTGTTAGACCAATTCTAAATTAGACTATAGTCTAATTTAGAGAATTTATAGCTGTTAGGAAACAATTTTTTTTTATTTGTTAAAAATTAATTATGCACTTAATAAAAACTTTAATTGAATACCTTGCTATGGTAACCTTATTTTGCATAGCAAAATAAAGTGATATCTCAACAAAAATTTTTTTTGTTAATTTAATTTTTAATTTAATTTAAAAGTTAATTTAAATCTCAAAGCTAAAAGTATTAAATCGCCTTGGATTACAAAGGGTTTGCGGAAGTCTTCAAAAATTATACATTAATTACTTAAAATCTAAAACAAATGAAAATAAAATTATATATAAAAATTACGCTAAACTTTTTGAAAGCCTCAAGAAAAAAAAAAAAAATAATATTATTTAAATTTACTAAATATATATAAATTAAATTTTAAACGCACTTGGTTTATAATAAGAGAAATTACTGGCAGCAAAAAATGTACATCTCACTCTTTGCCAAACACGGTTAAACATAATAATGAATTTTTATATGATAAAAGACAAATTACGGAAGAATTTAATAAATATTTTGTGTCTGTAGGACCAAATCTGGCAAAAAGAATTCCTATAGCTAACGGTTTAATGAATGATCTACGTTTCCCTCTAAACTCTTACTTGAACTCTTTTGAATTATCTTTTGAAGAGTTTGAAAATGCCTTTAAAATGTTAAAATCTAACAAAGCAGTAGGCCCTGATGGTATTAATGGCAACATTATTATAAGTTCATTTGATGTTTTAAAAGATATACTCTTTAAAATTTTTTCAATATCAATTAAACAGGGAATTTTTCCATATGCTCTAAAATTAGCAAAAGTCATACCAATATTAAAAAGTGGTGACATTGAGAATATAAGTAACTATCGTCCAATTTTACTCCTTTCTGTATTCTCTAAAGTTTTAGAAAGAATTTTGTACAATAAAATTTATAGTCATCTTACTTTAAACAATTTATTATACAGCAATCAATATTGATTCCAAAAAAACAATTCTACTGAACATGCCATTCTACAATTTACAAGAAATATATCTGACTCATTTGAAAATTCTCAATTTACTTTAGGTGTTTTCATTGACTTGGCGAAAGCTCTTGATACTATAGATCACGAAATTCTTTTTAAAAAGTTGGAGTGGTACGGAATTACTGGAAAAATATTAATTTGGCTAAAAAGTTACCTAAATAATCGAAAACAATTTGTTTATGCGAATGATAACGGAATGATAATCAGTAATCATCTAGTTTGTTAAATATTTCATGTGGAGTTCCTCAAGGATCCATATTAGGACCTCTCCTATTTTTAATATATATTAATGATCTACCAAAAGCTTCTAACCTAATGACAATTATGTTTGCTGATGATTCTAACCTATTTCTTTCTCATAATAACATTTTTACACTTTTTAGCAATATGAACATTGAACTAGTCAAAATTTCCGAATGGTTTAGATTAAACAAACTATCACTAAATATTGATAAAACTAAATGGATTCTTTTTCATCCTTATGGTAAAAAGCACCAGCTGCCTAGCAACTTACCTTTTCTATTTATCGATAACATAGTTATTAATAGAGTTTTAGTGACAAGATTTTTAGGTGTATATATCGATGAAAATCTTACATGGAAATGCCACATTGCTAACTTGTGCAGTAAAATTTCAAAGAGTATAGGCATTTTATACAAAATAAGAAACGTTCTTGATAAAAATACCTTAATTCAATTATATTATTCGTTAATTCATTGCCATATCAACTATGCAAACATTGCTTGGGGTAGCACTTATAAAAGTAAACTTAAACCTCTCTATCGGCAACAGAAGCATGTAGCACGCCTTATAAATTTCAAGGACCGTTTTGCTCACGCCAAGCCTCTTTTATATGATATGAAAGCACTCAATATATATGAGTTAAATGTTTTTAATATTCTTTGTTTTATGTATAAACGCAAGACCAACCTATCACCCGTTTCTTTTTGTAACTTGTATTTACAAAGAGATAGAAATAAATATATTCTAAGGAACGGTAACTTAATTCGACAACCATTTTCTCAAACTAATTTTGGAAAATTTTTTATTTCATTTCGCGGACCATTTTTATGGAATAGTATAGTTCTAAATACTTCTAAAGATTTTTCTCAAGAATGTAATTTTGATTCTTTTAAACAAAATCTTAAAAAACTCATTTTTTCAACTGAAAATATACTAATCTACTTTTAAATTTTTGAAAATCACTTGTCTATATTAGTATATGAATATATTTAATGTACATTCTTTTTTATTTATTTATTTTTTTATCAACAAGCAATTATTTAGCATGTTTTATTTTAGTGAATTATTTAACATGTTTTAGTTTTTAAGTTTTAGAACTCTTCTATTGTAATATTGTATGTTTATTTATAATATTATATTACGAACTTTATATACTTTTATTAATAAATTTAATTTTGCAATAAAAAGAAACTGAACAAAAATAAATAAATACAAAGAATGAAAACATTGAAAAAAAAAAAAATAATAATAATAATAAAAAATAAAATTAAATTAAAAAAAAAAAAAAAAACGTTCAAAAGCGGTTTCTCTGTGACAAGACCTGATGGTCTTCTTTGAGTATCCGCGTTCTTTATATTTATTAATATTCTTTATATTATTATATTATTCTTAACGATATCTTGACTTTTTACCTTTTCTTTTTTTATTTTTTATATTATTTGTATCTGTATCATAAATATTGTAATAAAGAACAAAAAAAAAAAAAAAAAAAATATACAAGCCCAAATAAATAATATGCAACTACTAAAAATAGGTTGTTGATATGAAAAATTTGGTATCCATAGCAACCAAATAAAAAGCCTTTTTCATAAGAATCATAGACCTAAAACTTCTACTCTTGACAATGAATAAAAGTTTGAGGTCTAATGGAAAATTTAAACTTTTTTAAATTTTTAAAGAGCAGCTGTGGCGCAGTGGTAGCGCACTTGCCTCAGAAACACAAGATCCGTGGTTCAAACTGGGCAAGTTTTGCGACATCGGTTGGGAAGGAGGTTTGAACATCCTATTAAATGCTCATCCGCGGTGCTCTATGATAAGACCGCAAGGACTTTTTGGGGCACCTAAAAAATAAAAAAAATAAACTGTTACTATGCAAAACTAAGTATCTATAGCAACTAAATATAAAAAATATCACTTTAATAAAAAGCGCAAACTTCACATTG